GATAAATATTGATATACAGTAGGTTTGCGGTTGCACCATGTGTGTGAGAGAGAGAGAGAGAGGTTTGAGGAGTCCTGAAAAGGACTCTGACTCAGTAATCTTTCTTGGAGGAGTGTAGCCCTAAAAAGGACTGTTTGTTATCTTTCTTAGCATGTAGTTCTCAGAAGAATTATAGCGCTTGGAGAGGATGAGTGGCTCGACGTTTCGAACAGGTTGACTATCCGTCGTCAGGAGTGGAGAATATTATATACCTCACTTAAGAAATCCAGCCATCTGATTGGTCGAATTGCATTCATAAACTTCAACTGTTCCTGTAAAATTCTCGGTAACCATGCATAAAAAATTTCAATATTTTTAATAACCATGGTTATTAAAAACAGTTGGTCAGCCTCCATGGTTACCCCATAGGTTTACATGTTAAAAAATGGTTTGAGCGATGGAGGATGCCGCATGTGTGCGAAGGATTGGTCGGTAATTTCAAATCAATACAATTGAATCTCGATCGATCTTACCGACAATTTTATCTTGCATTGTTGACATGAAGACGAAAATAAACTTCCAAAAACAAAAAAACAACATCTGCCGATAGATCTTGATCTAAGTTCGTGCCAATATGCATTGCAAAAGTAAAAGAAGAGTCCGTATATGGAGCTTTTGCGAAGCATTCATCACACGCGAAGCCGGTTTCAATCCATTTTAATGTATATATTGGAGAAAACTGCCAAACATGTTAACGGCGGGCTATAGCCGAGTGGTCTAAGCGTTGGTTTTTGGTACACCTCTTGTTGTACGCAAGGGTTCGAATCCCGTCTTCGACAAAATGATAAATATTTTTAATTTTTCATTTTTTAGTCTATTTTTTTTCGGCATATAAAAGTATTAATGACTGCTTTAATATTCGAGAAATAGTTGTTTTCATACGCTCTCGGGAAGGTTAGAATTGTGCTATTCCCCGAGCGTAATAAAACAACTATTTCTCTCAAAGCAGTCATTAATACTATACTATTGAGTAGTAATAATAATCAAAAGACAAAAATAAGTTATTTAAAAAAAGATCAATTAAAAGCACACGCGTGTGTGCGGTTGTATGCGTGTGTTCGTGTGTGTGGTGTGGTGGTGTGTGTGTGCGTATGCGTGTGTTCGTGTTTGTGTGTGCGTGTGCGTGTGTGTGTGTGTGTCTGTGCGTGAGGCTCTTTTTTTGGAAATAATATTCATTCACAGTGCACAAAATATTATATTGTTATAAATGAGTAATAACTTACATCTGTATAGAGTTCAGTTATGTTTATGTGATAATTATACCTAAACGTACTATATATGATTTGTAAGGCATTTGTAATAGTTTGAGATGTAAAAATGGAAAGTTGCGACTTGTTATTATTTTATATTTCATTTGTAATATTATGACAAATTATGTATATGTTATCATTTTGTTGTTATTTCTTGTGAAAAAATCCTCTGGACAGCCATGCATTATGGCTCAAGGTATGGGCACACAGAAGATTTTTTATGTTGGGAACCGGAGTAAAATGCAATAAATTATTGAAAATTTATTGCATTTTCTTCGTTTTTTTTTATTTATGGAAACTGCCCCCTACCCTAGCCCCCGCTGCGTACAGTCATGGTTCAGTGACAAAGCAATGGCCTCGTAACTGTGAGGCTCCAGGATCAAAACCGTGTCGATGTGCTATATTAGTGCCCTTTTGTGGGGCATTAATCCTCATAACTGTCCTTTATGACATAAGGGCATAGGTCCCCTAGTTGATAAGCAAAGTAGCATACACATGCTTTAGCAGTCACGCAAAACACACATTGGCAAATCATTATTCAATAAAATCTGAGAATGTATACTATTATCTAGATCTATTATTTTTTAATTATTTTTAAAATAATTCCATAAATTGGGATAAAAAAAAATTATTCCACCTTTATGAGCGACAGTGTAAGTTCCCCTTTTCAGGTACGCGTAGCGCTCATTTACACTTTTGATAAGCGCCCCCTTCACCTCTGATAATTGCCCTATTCAAATCTGAGAGGTTCCCCTTTTCCTTTGTAAAAAGTGCCCCTTCCCCTTGTAAAAAGTGCCCCTTCCCCTTTCGATAACTACTCCTTTTTAATTGGGTAAGTGCACCTTATATTTTCACATGAGCCCCTTTCCTTTTTAATAAGTTCCCCTTTTCTTATGATAAGTGTCCCTATTTAAAAAAGAGCTCCTTTCCCTTCTCATAAATGCCCCATTTTCATCTATGAAAATAGTTCAAAATCAGAAGGGTGCCTCTATTCCGTCGACAAATGCCCATTTCCCATTCTCATGAATTCCCTTTTCATCCCTGGTGTGTGCCTCTTTTGTTAGGTATAAGAAGTGCACCATTTTCACTGATAATTAGCCTTTGTACTTTGACACGTGCTCTTTTTCTTTTCTATTCTTAACCCTTTCGATAAGTGTCACATTTTCCTCCCATCATTAAACATGCCCCTAATGTCAAGCGACTAAGAGCAATTTACCCCAAAGCTCGCTCGTAGTTATAGATGTTATAATTTTGGATCTTTTCAGTCTTCCTTTATGAGAATTGTCTTATAACCCCATGAGGATTGGGTTTTTCCTCTTTATAAGATGTAATTTTCGCACTGCGACCTCACAAATCTTAATTTTGTTTCCTCGCTCGCTCGCAAACGAATTTTCAGACCATCACACCCAACTGCAAAGTATGATGGTTAAGCAATATCTTGTATCATGTATAAAGAGAAACAAATATTAAAAACATCCCTAATAATTCAATCACAATATAGGGGTATATACCAATGTCTAAAAAATTGAATATTTTCGCTTTGAGATTTCCCTTTGAAGGTGCCCTTTTTTGTCCAGAAAGTGCCATTTTGTGTTGGTGCCCCCCCTCCCACTTTGGAAGTCGCTCCGCCGCCTCTGAGCTCAGCTAAAGCCAATTTACCATGCTGCGACTTGTCGGTGCCTCGGGCATCCCGGGGGGGGGGGGGTGGTACTCAGATTCGGTTTGGACGGGATGTGCCGCTCAAGCCTCGAAACCCCTACCAATTTTTAAGGATCATTCTGTGGGGGGGGGGGGATTTTCTCGAAATAAAATAAAGGCACATTTTAATTTTGAAGAAAAAAACGGATCCATGTTTTGGAATTTTTGTGAACACAAATTTTGGGCACAATCCCGTATGTCTTAATATGTGAGTACCCCCCCCCCCCCCCCCCCCCCCCCCCCCCCAGGGCTCGGGCATGTAGAAATCTGTGTCTTTTTATGAGACCGAGGTCAATATATGCAGTGTATTTTTGAAAAATGTAGTGCTTCTCTCTCTCTCTCAATCTCTCTATATCTTAATCTCTCTCTCTCTCTCTCTCTCTCTCTCTCTCGGCTTTCTCGCTTTCTGCATCTCTATTTTTATGTCTTTTTCCCTTTCTCAGTTTCTCTTTCTTTCCCACTCTCTCTTTCCCTTTTGTACCATCTGATAGGGATCACGTGCCTTATCGGCCCCGTCGATACGCTACAGTGTAGAGTGCTCGATCGAATCATGATAATTGTGGTGATACCCTTCATTTTGAATTGATCTAGGCATTCTAGGGTGACGGGAAAACGACACTTTTTTTTGGATCCATTTCTTTATACTCTCTTAATGCAGTGAAAGGGTACTGAACTCTTTAATGAGTCATATTGAGGATAACTCTGTTTTTGGAGTTGAATCCACCCCAAGTTATAGTGGATTCCACTCCAAGAAATAGTTTGAATTGCTTTTTAGAGAGTGAAATCCATAAAAACCTACAAATTCCACTCCGAAATAAAGAGATCTTAGAAAAGTGTATGGAAGAGTGGATTTCTACTGCATACCTTTACGGACTAACAATGACGTTAATATCTCCCAACAAATATATTTATTGTCCAAATAATGTATTATGATCACCATTAATCAAAATGTACAGATGGATATAATGTTTATTTACCTTAATTATTTTCATCAAGAATTGCAACAAAAAAACAACAACAGATTTCTAATATGAACAAACATGGACGATCAAGCAATTATATTATTGGTATTATAAAAATACAAAAATGTCAGCTCACTTCAATAGAGTAGTAACATTCTAAAAGCTCGGACAGTCTATGGCCCTTATATTTCCCATGACAGTGACGCCTTCAAAGAAAACCATAAATATCTTTGTGGTTAGAGAATTTTTTCAGGATTGTTGCATGTTAGAGGGTTAGTAGAAGGAATATAATAAGTAACATTTGATACAAAAATTACGCAGTTTTTTCATCAACCTTCAACAGTGTTACCGAGTCACTTGAAATGTAACCCGAACCCTTACCCACATCCTAAATCACATGTGTAGGTCTACTTACAATAGTTTACTGATCAACGTTGATATCTAATAACGTGTATTTATTAAAAGCGAGGTGGTCGGCAATTGTTTGCATAAGCTTATCTAATCTAAGACCTTCACTTGCTATTTTACAAACTAAGAAATAAAGGTACAATTCTGCTACAATAGCAGCGCCCATGGCCAAATACGCGTAGGTGGATGCAAATCTGCACCCCTATTTCACCCTTATTGAACTTTATCGGAACACCCTAGCTTCGGTAATTGGGTCAAATAAGGCTTAAAAGAGCTAACAAAAATATATATTTATAATAAAATAATATAAGATGAATATAAAATCTACATTTACAACATATTTACAAAAGTATGTACAATTGTCACTTAGTTTGTGAAAACTTTTTTTCTTTCGCAATTGATGACATAGCTGCTTCCTCAATGTCTCTCGCCAGAGGGCGATAAACACAAACGACTTCGCATAGTGTTGGTAAGTGCCAGGGTAAGTGTATGGTAATGATTGATATTAATCCCCTTTTGTTTTAAAAACTACTTATTACATGAAACTACTTATTTAACGTAAACATCTGGGGGAGCGAAGGGCATGTGCTCCGGTCGGCACATGAATGGTTTGAGAACCCCTTCTCTACAAACGTGCATGTCATTAGAGTCCTGTTGACATGGTATTAATATTTTCGTATCGGTGTCCCGGAAGTCCGCCCTGATCGAAACCTTTCTTCAGCGGAGGATCTGAAGGACAAGTTAGAGGAATTTAGTTTAACTTAGGTGTTTTCCAGAACAAAATACAGTCTGGATTGATTTGTATTTGGTTCCACGGTTTCATTCACCGGTTCTTTTGGAACCCTCTTCGACGATTCCACAAGAACTTCTCCAGAGAGTTCCTGGTGATTGGTTGTTGAGTCACGGTGGGATTCTTGCTTAGGATAAATATCTACACAAGAATAAAATGGAATCGGATCAGGGAAACGGCGCGATCGCGTTGCATCGTCATTTTCAATTTCAAAATATAAACGGCCTTCAGGGACATCTTGTTCTGGAGTGCCTTTCAACTTTTTCTCTGAAATGGCGTAGCCGTCTTCATTCGTCACGTTTTCAGCAAGTCCTTTGCCTGCGAGAACCGACCTCGAATCAGATCTTTCAATATCACTTGAATTGATATTTATTACTTTTGTTTCGTCCGCTGGTGAAAGACCCGGCTCCGTCGCAAGATCCAGCATGATTGGTGCGTAGTAGTGAGAGCTATCCACGTTCGATTCATTTCCCTGTAAATGACAAATATTAATTTCACTGTTGTGGAAGGTAAAGTCTGGGATAGTAGTGGATAGAGTTCGCATCTGTATTAGTTTAGGTTTACCCCGACCTTTCCGTAATTCTGTGTTTGCTTGAGGGACGCAGCAAGTTTTTGGAACCTTTATCAGAACAGCAAATATTAACAAAATGGCAACCCCTGCAACGAAACTTATAACTATGGACAACGCAATGGTTATCGCACTGCTGGACCCATTTTCGTCGGTTGTGTAACCGTGTTGTACCTTAGTGGTATTCTTCAACGCTGGTGGTGTTGCGCTTGGCTCGGAAGTGCTATCTTCCCTTTGTGGACCTACAGCGGTTGGGGTTGAAGGCTGCCAAAAGGATGGTGGTGTCGTATTTGGCAAAAGTGATGTGCAATCTTCTGATGAGGTATCTGGTGATGGATCAGGCTGGGTAGAGAAGTTCGTAGCCATCTTCTGTGTGGATGACAGTTTAGGCTGAGAGGAGAATACCGTAGTCATCTTCTGTGTTGACGACGGTTTAGGCTGAGTTGGGAAGACCGAAGTCGTCTTCTGTGTGGGTGACGAATTAGGCTGGAAGGGGAAGACCGAAGTCGCCTTCTCTGTGAATGACGGATTGGGCTGGGAGGGGAAGACCGAAGTCGCCTTCTGGGTGGATGACGGGTTATGCTGGGAGGGAAAGACCGAAGTCGTTTTCTGTGTGGGTGACGAATTAGGCTGGAAGGGGAAGACCGAAGTCGTCTTCTGTGTGGGTGACGAATTAGGCTGGAAGGGGAAGACCGAAGTCGTCTTCTGTGTGGGTGACGAATTAGTCTGGAAGGGGAAGACCGAAGTCGTCTTCTGTGTGGGTGACGAATTAGTCTGGAAGGGGAAGACCGAAGTCGTCTTCTGTGTGGGTGACGGGTTAGGCTCAGCTGGGAAGAACATTGTGCCAGTGTTCGTGGATGAAGAGTGAGTTTTGGTGGGGAACAACGTCGTCACTGCCAGCGTGGATGACTGGATAGACTCAATGGGAAGAGTGCAGGAAACATTTGATAGGATGCCATCCGATGAAGATAGTTCAATAGAATGGTGTTTTGTTGATTCATCTAGAAGTCTTGATGAAAATTCTAAACGGCTATCGTTAACTATCTGTATTACAGTTATTCCATCAACCCTGAGATATACCAAAAAAGCATCACTCGAATTTAACCCGACAATATCACATACCACATTTGATTCCAAAGAACATATGCAATCGATGGCACGAACATCATACGTATACAATGTTTTTGGTTTGAATGATTCATTTTCAACTGAAATACAAGTGTAGTTGGCTGAATGTTCCTCAGTTATGTTGGATATGTAAATTGTAAGAGCAATTTTCATCTCACTCAAAGAAAGGTTTTCATAGCTGTACGAAAAACGCGAGTCATCTTGGAAACGTTGCAACATGTGCCCCTTCTCATTTTGGGGACCGGCCGTTGCTATGTAACTGTGTCGTGATGATCCTATCTTTCTCTGTAACCAGTGTAGAGTAATATTTGGATTCCAATCGGTTACACAATCCAGAGTTATGTCATCCCCGACCTTTAAAGTTTTCTTCACGGATAAAGCAGACCTAGCAGAAAATATTGCAGACCAAGTCACGCATAGCAGGAAAGTTGTAGATAGACTGAAAATCCCCATGTCCGTAGTTTCAATCACAGCAAAATTGAAAATAATTCAATCAATTTCTCAAGGTATAATATTGTCCAACTTTTTTTTTACTTTGCCAGTATTTCCAAGAACGGAAACATTTCTTTCTTGAAGTCGCGTTGTTTACAACGATGATGTCAACTTGAAGGTAACCTTATAGCTCTTCTCCATTCGTTTATAATATAAGAGTTACTTCTTCCAAGGTCGTTACATTATCTAAATCCATGTAGAAAGTGCAGAACTGACTCAGATGCCAATAATGATGATCATAAAGAAAGCTCCTTAGTCTGAATTATAAACTTCCTTATGAAAGAGAGATTAAATTTCTATTTCACCATGACCTTGCCGAAACAATCTGTCATGAAAAGGCTCCATTTAATTCTATACTGAACAAATGAATAACCAAGAAACAGGAAGCCAGAGCCACTTGGTAAGTTGTTAATGAGCGACGAAAGTCCATTAACCTCTTTGTTTACTTGAGTGTATCTTCGCTTAAAGTAGGTGAAGACAGTTATGAAACCGAGAGCAATATTTCATAAGAAGCAACTGTACTTTAAAATATCAAACTGGTTTTAGTGTTTGTTTAACATGTTTTGTCCCCCCAAAAATAAAAAAATAAAAAATAAATAAAAAACACATGCACTAACACATAAATGTTTTGGTGTTAGTATTCAAACACTTAAAACGCAGGTAATTAACACTTATTGTTGAAGTTAGTTTATCCGCCTGTTTTTTAACATTTTTTTTTCTCTTACTGTTAGATATTGAATGGTTTATCCATTGTGTAATTGGTCAAGATAAGTAAGCGTTTGTATAGACACGCTGCTGTTAACAGTTCACAAGCACTTTTTCCAGAAACAATTGGTTGAATCGTTTGAATGCAAGCACATTCAAATGGGTCATTGTATGATAAATGCGTTGGCGAGGCATTCTGATGCATACACATCATTGGCGTACCCAGGTTTTGAGTGAGCATTTATTGAGCATTTAACAAGTTTAAAATTAATTACATCTACTTTCAAGAAACTTACCAGGGGCGCGGATAACAAGAGTCATTGGCAATTTATTCAGCAAACCATATAGGCGTACCAGGAAATGAATGAGCAGGGGTTGGGGTTCTTCCCAGTGTGATTTGAGGGGGTGAGGACCCTTGCGTGACGAATTGCCCCAGAGTGTCAGCTAGATCAATTTCATTAGGGACTTTTAGATTGAGTGGACGAGAACACGACGAACGCCGACTGATCATGCGTGTCAACGTACTTAACTGCCCATGTTGACTACAATTAGAAATCTTTTAGATTGCACTCGACGATATACATGCATGCAGCAAGTAACACTACAAAGACTAGAGGACAAAATATACAGTTCCTAATTCTACCCTCAACAAAAGAACATCCATTCCCTTCACTGCTATTATGTAAAAATGTATAGAACAGGTGAATATGCATGTGACACCTGTTCTACACATTTTTACATAACAGCAGGGAGGGGATGTTCCTTTGTCTACCTGAGGAACTGTATATTTTATGCGCACGCGGCATACTAGTACCAGGAAGCTGTAATGAATGGAGATCCCGTCCAAGAGGCCCCTTTGAAGTCATCCGTGGCACCGCGCGTCTTTTGTTTCCCCTACCGTAATCCCCTTAATCCCCCTCCAAAACCTTACAGCTCCCTAGTAGCACTAAGTCCTCCCTTTCCACACACAGCCCAGCCCAGCGAGCACGGCGGCTTTTGCTTTGCCGGCCCGTACTTTGGGTGAATAGTGGTGCTAACTTGACAACTTCTAGCCCTAAATCAATAAATGCGCAAACATATAACACAATTTCATTTAGTTCTTTAGGAAGATAAACCTTTGGACTACCTTCCTAGCTATGTACAAATTTCGGAAATTTTCGGAAAATGTCAATAATTAGATGAGAAAATCATGATTATGAAAATCTTTCATTCGCTCTAACTCATGATTTCCCTGGTCGATTTCGCTGGTTAAAATGGCCATGTCTTCAGTAGAGCTATCCGAGAACGGAAAACGCATTTGATGACTAATAGAAAGTTGCATTGGTCATAATGTTGTGAATTCTGCATTTTATATGTTATAGCTAAATACATCTTTCATGAACATGACTTAATTTGTCGGTGCCACGCATGGCTTCAAAGCCCGATGCTTGCATATTTTTGCAAACGAGTGAATAGAGAACTTAGGGAAGCAGATGGCGTTGCGTAACATTTCGTACTATTTGGAATGCCAGAGAGGGACTGTGCATTGATATGGACAGCTGTAGATGGAAATGATGGCTGGAGAGGGTTACATTTCTTTTTGTTAAGCCAGGTTAATCTTGAATAATTTTCCCTCGGAAAATTCTTTCGAGACGGTATCTCCATTCATTACAGCTTCCTGCTAGTACCTTCAGCATGTATAAGGCGCTACATAAATATCAATAAGGGAGTTTACAGATACAATCTGCGGATGGGCAGATAAAGGTCATTTGTACCAAAAAGGTAAAACCCACAGAGATGAATACTGGATATGCGCTCATGAAAGTTATGTAACATTATTCATTTATGCACCAATGGTACATTCTATGATACGCAGATGGAAGTATTCTTTTCAAGAGGGCAAAAAAAGGTATTCATGAAGCACATCTAGGACTTTGGCAGTTATTATTCTAATATGCTCAAAGTGGAACTTCTCCATGTGTAAAAGATCTGTGGATATTTGGGGTCATTTGTACCATGGGCTATCTGTAAACTCCCTTATATGTATGTACTAGATTTAGGAAAATCAAGGTTGACGCATTCTCGATCGCCGACTGAGACGACGTAACGCATGCGCAGTGCCTTAAGATGACGTCACACGTTGCAGTCAAAGCTGTTGACGTGAAATATAAAAGTCCCTATTGATGTTTAATGGACCTTCAAACTGGAAAGAGGGCGTGGTCTACTAAATAGTTGAAATATAGTTGAAATATAGTTGAAATAGTTGAAATATTTATTGGTTACTGAATCATCATAGGTTATAACAATAATGTGACAATGTCTTTACATGAGTATAAAACATAAGTTAAATTACATTTCCACATTCAGTAAATCATAGATACATACGCTCGAAGAGGTGATGATACAGAAGGGCTACAGCCTAAGCGTGACAGCTTGATACGCTTGCAGCCCAGAAACATTTAAAATCATACTAAACGCTGGGTGCGGCACTAGTAATAGTAAGCAAATATTACTCGACTACAAGGGTAATGCCGGTACAAACTATCATCGCCGAGGTGATCTCGGGGCTACTGTCATCCCACATCGGCAATAAGGTCTATTTGAAGTGAATTTTACATAATTAAAAGAACTGATTCTGCAGACAGTTTAATTTCAGCTAGATTTTACAAAGCACAACATGCATACATGTAATAAAGTCGATGTGCGCTCATTTGACATTGAAATTGGCATTGAAATTTCGTGTACCCTAATTTTGCTATGCTTGTTCAATGGGCAAGTGGGGCAGCAGCAAAAAATTACTGTACAAAAGTCCTATCGCAGGGAGATAGTACTTATCTATCATTGATCATGTGACCTCGTTTAGACCAATCAAATTGCAAGATTCTTAGTATGCGGGATATAATATTAATTGTCACATCTCCTTGTCTCCTCACTAATTGTGTGCCATTAATGTTTAGTTAAGGAGCCATGAAAAGCGTTATCTCACATAATTCTACATATAGTTATGTAATGGCCCTTCTACCCTGAAACAAATGAATTATGGGATCTATTTTTAACATGCTTTGACTTTTTCATTTATAATAATAATAATAATAGCTCACATTTATAATGCGCCTAATACTTTTTTTCTATAGGCGCAGAACATATCACCCCGGTCAACGGATTCAGGCTTACCCGCACACAATGTACGCACATTCTCCACTCCCTGGGGAGCATTCCGGCCAGTAGTCATTTTACAAACGCCACTTGCTCATCCAACCACATTAACTTTCGCATCCTATACCGGGTAACCATTTAGCACCTGGGTGGAGAGTGGCAAATGTAGATCAACGTCTTGCCAAAGGACATATAGGGCGCACTTTGGTTCCTCCCTGGCCCACTGTGCGGCGACGTGACTGAAGTATTCTGACCAGATAACCAATCCGCATACAACGTCATTGGTAGTGAGCCATAACCATAAATATGAATAGATGCATTCACTCTTCGATTTTTACGTTAAAAAAAGCATCCGTTTGGTTATCGAAACTGAAAAGGTA